GGGGGGGGGGGGGGCTGTCGGGGCACCGGGACGCACCGGTGGGACCGGGGCTTGCGGCTTTTGTGCCCGGGGATCCTGAAAGTTCCAGGGCTGCGGGGTGGGATCGGTGAAAGACCGAGTGCCGAGGGTTTAAAACCCTTCTCCGGCTTTATCCCTCCCGTTCGGGGGTGTCCCCGCCGCTGCCCAGCCCCTGCCCTCCAGCCCGGTCCCCCCGGGGATGCCGGCGCCGTTTTCCAACCCCCGCGGCTCTTCCCCCCGGTGCCGCCCGCGGTGTTAAACCCCCCCCAGGACCGGGAGCGATGGAAGCGGCAGCCGGTTTAGGGCAAGTCCGTGGGCTCCCCCGGCATCCACCGAGCTGGGAAGGCACCGAGGGGAGAGGATGCACCGGGGGGGTCCGCCCCGGGCCGGGTGGGCAGCTCTGGGGAGCCCCTGCCTGGCACACCCCCCTGGCTGCCCTCAGGAGATGGTCAGAGAGGGGTAGGGGCTCCCGTGCTGTGCTCTGGCTGCAGGGTTGGGTGATAAAGGGAGATCTTGAGCCAGGAAACAGGTTTCCGTGTGGAGCCGAGCAGGGGGAGCCGGCTTTTTAGGGAGCCTGGTGGGATTTGGTCACCCTCCATCAGGGTGGCTTTGGAGGGGCTGCTGAGGGGCTCCTCCGGGCGGGTTCTGTAGCTCTGACAGGCCTGACCCCGCGTGCGGTGGTGGTCATGGAGGGCCACCTTGGGGGGCTTGGGGTCAGGCTTTCCATTCACCCCCAAAACCTGTTCACCTCCAAAACCTGTTCACCTCCGAGATCTGTGACAGCTGAGGGAAAGCAAAACAGCAGCTCCCGAGGCTGAAGGGTTTAGTGTCTCTGTATCAGGGAGAGAAAGACTCGGTGCCAGGGGATTGCTAATGCAGGGAGATCGTGGGGGGATTTGTTGGACTGGGGTGAGGAGGCTCGTTAGAGCCCGCCCATTAGCACCAGCTCAACTGGATGAAGGCACCCATGGGCCAAAGTTTTGCACCTGCCCTTGGGGTGGCTGGTGGTGTGGAAGAAAGAGGGGTCCTCATCATTCCAGATGTGGGGAGAGCTGGGATGCAGCCTTGTGCAGAGTGAGCAGCCCCTGCAAGCTGTGGTCTGGGGGGTGAGGGTGGTGTCAGACGAGCCTGCATTTTGTGGTAGCCACATGATTTGTGAGGTGGTGGCTTTAGTGCTTCCTCAGGGAGTGAGAGGGGCTGTCCCCGTGCGTGGGACCGGATGGTGTTCCCATCCCTGAAGGCTCACACCAGAGCACACCACGGTGCTCAGGCTTCAGCATCTCCCCTCCTCTCCCAGGGCTGCTCTCAGCGTCTGAATGGGATGGGCCTCGACTTCCTTAAGCACTGCCGGCTGTGGATTAGAGCTTAGGATGCTTTTAGCCTCTCTACCTGGCCCTCGGATTTTGCAGGACATCGTGACCTCTCTGGGACAGAGGTATTCTGCAGGGACAGGTTCATCCAGGGACCCATAAGAAGAACAGGAGCATTCGACTCCCTGCTCTTTTTCCACCCCCCTGAGAGGAGCTGTTTGTTTGGAGTGGTTTTGCTCGTCCCTTGTTAACTCAGTTTTGGTGGTTAGAAAACCTCTGTCTTCACGATTCTTCCCAGTTACTTCTCGCTAATTGGAATTCCCTTTTCTCCTTGCTCTTTCTGCTGAGTGTCTGTGCCCCCAGTTCCCCACTTTGTGGGCAGACACACTGAATGTGGTCTCCCATGGGGTGTCCCAAGGGGTTTCCTCCAGCCCACAGGCTTGAGTTGTGCTGGCACATGGGAAACGTGGATCAACCTACTCTGGGGTATCTCTAAAAACACTTCCAATTGGGCCTGAGGATTGCGGGGCATTCCTTGGGTACCACAGACATCCCACAGGTTCTGGCTGCTCAGACAAGGCGTTCAGCCCTGGGTGAGCTTTAAAACCCCTCCTGTGCCTTACCTGCGGTGACACGTGGTGTCTTCACTCCTGTAGCTGTTCATAAACATCAGGGCTGAGGTGGAATTCCGTATCTCTGCTCCCGGGATGTTCAACGACAGGGAATGAAGGTGGCGTGGGACAGAATTGTCTTTCCCTCCAACTTCTGCAGCCCCTGCAAGAAGGCAGGATTTCAGAGACCCTGGAAAAAGAGCTGGCACCGGGGTCTGCACCCCTCTGGTCACGCAGAGGTGCTGTGCAGGGAGGGAGAGAAAGGAGCCATCAGCCTCCTCCAGCAGGCAGCGGGATTTGCTGAAGCAGGACCCACTTTGTGCCTGGAAGTTTCTCTCTGAGCTCAGAGAGTTCATTTTTAATAATCTCCTCTGTGTTAGAGCAGGATTTGCAGCTCCTTTTGTTCTGAAATACGCTAAGGAAAAGCGAGAGCAGCCACTGAGTCAGTGCCAGGGCACAGAATGTTTGTGTTTTGGAGGTTTTTTTATCTTTTTTTCCTTTTCTTGGTGGCAAAAGAAAAAAAGGGCCTGGAAAACAAATCATATGAAGAGCGGCTGAAGGAGCTGGGACTGTTTAGTTGGAGAAAGAGGAGGCTGAGGGGAGACCTCATCACTCTCTACAACTACTTGAAAGGACACTGTAGAGAGGTTGGTGCTGGTCTCTTCTCACAGGTAATTAGTGACAGAACGAGAGGGAACGGCTTCAAGCTCCAACAGGGTGGGTTTAGACTGAACATTAGGAAGGAATTTTTCACAGAAAGAGTGGTCAGGCATTGGAACAGGCTGCCCAGGGAGGGGGTGGAGTCCCCATCCCTGGCTGTGTTTAAGGGCCGTTTAGATGCAGTGCTGAGGGACATGGTGTAGGGGAGGACTTTGTAGAGTAGGGGAGATGGTTGGACTCGATGATCCCAAGGGTCTCTTCCAACCTCAATGATTCTATGATTCTATGAAAAGTGAAAACTGTAGATGGGGGGGTGAAGAACATAGTGACTGCTGCAGCTTCAAACTAGCTTGATTTCAACGTGCAGCCTGTACCATTGCATCCAGGCACTGACAACGTGGCACGGACACCCTGAATGTTCAGTTCAGCCTTCGTTCTCAGTGTGGGATTTTTCGGTTGGTCGCTTTTTTTAACATTAGCACAGCTCCTGACGGAGTAAAGGTGGACTTTGAGGGCTTATTGGGAAACTTGAAAACCGGCTGAGAGTGTGGTTTTTGGCTTCTTATTTAACAGGAACTGAACAATAAACTCTGACCACTTCTTTCATCCAGCAGGAGACGGTTAGTCATCTCATGGAGTTTTTTTTTTCCTGCGAGATGGCTTCTCGTGTTAGGTTTTTGGAAACATCTCTCCCAGTCAGGGCTTTAGAAGACGGCTGGAGAGGTTTAACTTTTGAGGTGACATCTGACATCCGCGCAGAACAACAGGTCTCCCAGAGGCTTCAGTGGGGATGGGATTCCTTCCTGTGAGATGCGGATTATCCTTTGCTGCTGTTCGCAGGAGCCTGAGCACAGTGGGAGAGGCCTTGATCTTGCCTGTTATTTCTGGTTGTTATGAAAGCTTATTCCGACGCGTTAGCAGCATTTGTTGACACATACTCTCCTTTTGTACTTCTGAAAGAGCCAACTTCTTGTCCCACCTAATGTCCACAGTGAGGATTCCGAGGTCTTGGCTGCAGGAAGCCAAACTCTGTTTTAGTTCTCTCTGGATGTCCCTTGTTTGTACCTGCAGGGATGGAGGATGGCTGAAAGCAGGTGTTAGACGAGGGGGAAATTGGTGTGTGCGGTCCCAGCTCTTTCTTTTCTGTACCATTTCACAATCCCTGCAGTCCTGACTGGAGCCAGGGCTTGGCAGAAGGGCAGGGAGATGGGACCATCCACCGTAAACTTCCCCTGGTCCTGTCCTGTCCATCTACTGCCGTGGTGCGATGGCCTTGTGATGGTGAGGAGGAGATGATGGCCACTAGTCCTGGCCAGTTGTGGCCCTGTTGCAACCAGTATAGAAATGAAGAGTCCTTGGTTGAGAGAACTTTCTTTGGAAATGGGGCAGTGTTGTAGGAAATCAGCATCTCCCGTGGAACCGGAGCTGTGTGGCTCTCCAGGCATGCAGGGACGCCTGTAGACATCTTCTCCCCACAGACTGGCCTTCTCTGTGCGAGATGAGTCCTGCCCTAAATCTCTCTCCAGTGTTCACTGGGCATCACTGGGGGTTCTTCAGGCTGTACTTCTTTCCTCATCAATTTGTCCTGTCAAATTGACCTGCCTTAGCAGCTCCAGTTCAGGGTTGGAGCCTTAACGAGAAGGAGTGTTAGAAGCGATGGGATGAAGCTGGCCTTCCATAAATCCAAATGTTGCTGTCATTCGGCAGTTCTGATCCTCCACAACCTGCTGTAACCAAGAAGCACCCTATGGATGGGAAGGGAAGAGCTTTCCGCTGGCTTAAAACATCCGTTTCCAAACTGAGCAGCCCCAGAGCCTGTGGAGGTGAATTCCTGCCGGGGCAGTGTTTACACCCAGCTGCTCTTTCGTGGAAACACTCCATCTTTAAAGAAAACCAGGTGAACTCCTGTGCCCTGCTCATTGCTCATTCTCTTTGGAACGCTGGCTCAGGTGGAGGTGGATTAGTGCCCTTTGCCTCGTTAGCAGCCACGCGGCGGTGACGGAGCCGGGGGGGAGGTATCGGTGTGGACGCCGGCAGTCATGTCCCAGATCTCAGTGGGGTGATGCCTTCCACTGAACGTGGTCAAACACGGAACAATGTTATTTATTTAATTGTTAATTACCACTCAGCAGGCTGCCCTGACATGCTGAAGGCATTTATCTTCCAACTTGCTCGGGAATCTCAGCTCTTAGCAGCGTGACAGGGAGAGGTAACGATCCATGGGGAAGGTGGACCTCTTGTCTGCAGCAGCCTTGTCCTTCTGATGAGAGTGCAGTGCTCTCCTAGCAATCAATCCAGTGCCAGTAAGGCAGG